AAATAATAATAATAATAAAAACATTTTAATTAAAAAAGGTTTTCAGAGTAACTTTGCTGTTTTGTCAGATTCTTTTATTCTTTTATTTTGTTTTTATTTTTTCAGACTTTCAAACTTTCATAGTTTTTTTCACATTTCTGAATGTCATTCTTTATAATAGGCATTTTTTAAATCACGTTCTCTTCATTTCAGGGCGGGCTTTTCTCTGAGTGTGTAGCAGAGATGCATTTCTATTGGTCTGCTGGTCGTTAGCAGCAACATTTTTATCGGTCAGAGCGAGATTTTCTATTGGTCTAGAAGTGAGGAGAATGTAAAATACAATTTACAATGGTTGCAATTTCTAAAACTCAATCTGAGAAACAGAAATTCTAATCAAATTAAGAAACTTTTAGCCTCTAAAATAAAGTTTGAAGAATAGAAAATTGATAAATTAAAGCTGAAAAGATCTTTATAATAATATATATATATATAATAAATAAATAAAAAAGTTGAAATAACAGAATCTGAGCAGCTGCTAGTTACTCTTAAAATCTATTTTGACTGTTTTTTGAAACTGTTTGCAAAGTTTTATTTCTGGATTGCATTTATTCAAATTTTACTTGAATCAGTTCTTTGCAAGGATAATGGGACAAAATTCCCTCCATACACAAACGAGTTCTTTTTTTGTTTTTGGTACTGAATCTTATTAAAGCTGAGAAATGTTGGGAGAAATGAGGTCATCATCCTTCGCTTGGATTCTCATCACAGCCCACATGATGAAGGTTCTGCACCATAAAGGGGTAAAAAGACCATCTGTGCTGCAGGAAAGACGGGTTCTACTCTCCATCAGACACAGCATTTGTCTACAGAGGAGGTGTCAGCTGAGTCCAGTTGTGTGGATATCTTTGGGCGTTGTGTGTTTCATGGGGTGATTGGGTGAAACACAGAGAGGAGATAAAGAGCAAAGAGACGATGCTTTTATTTCCCTCTGACCTTGGCTGAGGTTCCGCTGAGCCCACGGTGGCTCTAGGGGTGTAAATCACACCCATCATGGCGATTCGATTCAGTATCGATTTCCTGACCCAACGATTCGATTATTTTCGATACTCAAGAATACACTACAATACGATTCGATTGTTTTTTGTTTTTTTTTAACCTTACAGGCTAGACAATGTTTCAAATTTGAAATACATCAATGAAAGCTGTAATATTGTTATGTATTTTTCTTTAGAAACAACAGCAAATAACAGAAGTATAAACTCCACCTATTCCTATTAAAACCTAATTCATTGAAAATTTATAAAAATAATAATACGTTATAGATTCTGAAAGGCCTTGCATCAAAACACACTGCACAAAATCAGTGCAACGAGTGCAATGAAATACCTCGGCTCCAGACGTCGGAGCGTCGGCTGTTGGATCGATGCATTGATACAAAACGATTATTATTTACACCACTAGGTGGCTCATGACCCTGTTTGGATTTGGTACCAGACCGTCGGCCTGCTCAGGCAAAGTTCTACATCTTCATGCAAACACAGAGACTCCGCTGTTAAAGTTAATTTCCTGCTGACGTTGACGGATGAAGCGATAGACTAGACGAACCTTCACATTTAAACCAAATGGTCGGATAAAGACTAAAGTCACTCAGGATTATGTAAATCGGTTAGTTTTTTTCCATCATTGCTAACGTTTACCCTAATTAATCCTCCTCTAGCTACCTGGAAATGCCGCACAGAGTTTTATAGTTGCCTTCAGGCGTCTTGTTTCAAGGCGGAACCTCAAATGCGACTGAGACTTGAAAGCTCAGTCCTCTAGGGCCGGTGTCCTGCAACTTTTAGATATGTTATGGTCCGACACTCCTGAATCAGATGGTTTAGTGACCCCTTCAGCATAGAGTCCAGTTCTGCAGAGTCCTACGATTGTTGGACTTCAGTGTGTTAAAGCACAGACGCATCAAATAGGTGCTGGATCCAAGCCCTCCTGGTCTGGAGTAACTCCTCATAGACTTCTGTTATGATCTGCCATTGTTTTTTCTTTTAGTAGTGCAGCACACTGTGCCTGGCATTATGTACTGATGCACTATGCACTTACCAGAAAAGAGGAATTCACACAAACATGTGCATTTTGCCTATTTTTTTCTTTTACTTGCATTACCTAAAAAGACTGTAGTATAAAATTTTTGGAAATTGAATAAAAATTTTGAATTTTAGAGCCTAAGGGTCTGGTATCTGAGGTATCAGTAAATGCATGCACTTGTTTTAGAGTGAGGAATTCAAAGTGTGGTGTATGAGTGTGCGCACTTGATGAAATGCACGTGTCCCACTGTCAATGCAAGTGGAGCTTGGACACTAATGTTTTCCTTCTGGTAGTGGTTACTAATGGCAAACCATCTTCAGGCTAGTTGCTGATTTTTAAAAAAGTTAAAAATTGGTTAATTGTAGTCATCATTAACTAACTTAATACTCTTGAATGTGTTCTGACAGTAGTAACACTACGCCTTAAAATGATGAATTAAGTTAAATTCGGGACTTTGTATGAGCCAAGCTAACATTAGCTTCACTGTCTATATCAAAGGTATAGTGGAGGATGTTCATTTTCCAGGTGGATCATCAAAATAAATGGTCCTCCTACTTGTCAATCATTCTGGTGATATGTTTATGTAAAGCCGTCCTTCGTGCTCGTCCCCATTTTCACTTATCGGTGGTGAGTGTGACATGGTGGAAAAATTGCAAATCTTCTTTTAGAAAGTAAGCTTGTATTTACGAAACAAACAGCAACTTTTAAAAAGAGCATGCATTTGATAAGCGTTCCCTCCCGGGAACGGGGTTGTGCATGTGCATAATTTTTTTTTTTTTTTAAGCAAAGAGGGCGGGTATTTTCAAAAATGTGTGAAAATCATCCACTATACCTTTAAGCAAAGTCAGGGTTGAATGAACTCTTGATTATAATTGATGTGGTTTAACTGCAACATCTAACAAAAAAAAAAAAAAAAAAAAAGTTTGAATGTAATTTGGTTTTATTTTGGTACTTTACAGGTGAATTTCTGCATCATTATCATAGTGTGATCAAAGTGGAGTCTCAGTATGAGAGGTTATTTTCAGTATTAATTTTTGGTTCATTTTGTTTTGAACTTTTATTTGATTTATTTAAAATGTTTTAAATCTAAGATTCTTCTTAATGTACAGACTAGAACCTTCTTTGTCACTAAGTGAGACATCATTTTTTAAAGATGAACTGCTACCTTCACATAACGCTTGTCATGTTTACTAAGAAGTTTCCAGGAATGACTTTTAGTCTTTAATTCCAGGTCACAAATCTGCAGCTAATTACCCTTGAAATGGTGCATGTGATAAAAGCGAGTTGCTAAACTGGCTTAAATCACAAACAGAGAGAAAATGCCCCCAAATCCATGCCTGTGTGTGGGAGTGGAAGCCTAATTCACCGAGCAGCTCTAATTAGCCTTTACAACGCTCCACATCTTGTCATTAAAGAACACACTGATGGCTGTGGAGGGTTTGGCCTGTTTTCTGCAAATCCAGTTAAACCAGTGCTTGCCAGCCAATTCTAAACAGTTTAAAGCTAACTCCATGTTGTTGACATTTCAGACAGATTTCTCAGTGGTGGATTTTTATCCTTTTTTGGTATTTTAAAGCTGTGGTGAAGGCATGCTGTAGAGCTGAGGTTCAATGCAGCAAATATTTCTAAACTTTAATTTCTGAAACTGTGCTCTCTTTAACTTGCTCTGTAAAAGAAACAAAAAAGAAATTATATTTAGGTTTGTTTTTACATTTTTATGTTTGGTTCAGTTATATTGGATTTCAGGTAAATAAACAAGGCTTAATATCCCTGGTCAATAAAAAATTGGATGTAACCATTCAAAAGGGTTTCGTTACAGAAAAATGTATTTATATTTATATATGTGTGTGTTTGTATATATTTGGGTTTTTTGTTGTTTTTTTAGTCTGTATGTACCCTTCTTTGATGCACCTTTTCCTTCCTTTGCACCCCCTGTGGTTTAATAGAGCTGATGTTACAAGTGAATGTCTCAGTTGCAAGATCTATAAAATCCCATCTATCTATACCAAAAATAGTGCTCATATATAATAAAACAAATAATGCACTGCAATATAATGGGGGATCTTTTCATACAGACCAGTGAAGGGTGGCATGAATGAGACCAGCCCTGAAATGTGAAGACCAGAATGCTTTAATATCCACCTCTATCTTGTTGTTCTAGGTTTTCTGATCTTCTGTTGCACAGATTCTCTGTGGGTTTTTGGTCAGGCAGATTGTTGCCCAGTCAGAAAGTCTTTATGTCTGACTGGGCAACATGTAGCCACTTTTTTATGTCTACATGCTTTGTTAATAATTGAAATTATTTACACTACCGTTCAGAAGTTTGTGGTCAACTTGAAATGTCCTTATTTTTGAAGGAAAAGCACTGTACTTTTCAATGAAGATAACTTTAAACTAGTCTTAACTTTAAAGAAATACACTCTATACATTGCTAA